AACATTGTTAAGACAGGTATTCTACTTTTTTTTTTTTTTTTTTTTTTTTACACAAATCAGATATTAAGAATAAAGCCAGTGGAAATATGCTTACTTCGAATGGGCGTCAGTTTAATTAAACCTGAAAATCAACGTGACCCACAATCAACATGTTTATTCTATTTTTCACTTAGAACAGAGCACTCTTATTTCCTAACTATTTTACAGCTTTTTGGTTTGTTTTTTGGAAATAGTTCTATTTCACATTTGAATGTAGCTAGCTTAATCCTTATAGATAGATAGATAGATAGATAGATAGATATGTGTGTGAACAATCAAGATATGTAAGAATGTATTTACTAACCTTTTCAACCACATCAAAAATATTAAATTCGTCTTTGATGACTAATATTATTAAATTTACATGAACTCTTTGGATTGTCATTTAGGGAGATCCACCTCAAACTTTGAAGACCACTCAACTTTGGTGTTTCAGTTTTGCTGTAAGGGAAAATAAGGTCACGAAAACAAGCTTGAAGTAGTTTTCATAACTCCATATTCACTGCTGCATAAGCTCCGACTCACTCAAAGGATCCATTTTTATTCCGGCATCCAACTGCAAAGTTCCGAGCATTTTGCCATCGTAGCTTCATGCCAAATTCCTTTTGAACAAAGCATGGTGGGAATGTTTTGGTGAGTTTTTTCTTCACCACCACGTTTCAGTATTGATACATTCATTACAATTAATTTCAGTTTTAAAGAAACGTGATTGAGAAATCAGAATGAAACATCATCACAATACCATCTCCAGCACAGACCAAAACATATTGAAATGCAAAATATCTGCCTTTATTAAATACTTTGATCATCTTAAAATCACAGACTGGATCTCATAAACAGGTAAACGTGTTCCTTTCCCAAACAGAAAACTCACAGCCTCAGTCATGTAACTGATCGTTCACTTTAATCCATCTAACTACATGTCGAGCCTTTGTTGATTTTGTTTCTTAAAAACATTTAATTTGGTTTTACACAAAGCAGTGCAAACACATGAACATTAGCAACTAATTCTGGGTCATTGTTATGAAATCGAATTTATTTGAATGGCATCCAACTTCCATTTATCACCCAACATTCAACATTAAGTTTGTTACAATAATTAACAACTGACTAAATAAGTATATATAGACTACAACTCTGTCAGCTGACATGCACATTGTATGTGTCTTCATGCGTGTCAAATTTGGAGTGATTTTACTCAGGCTGATGAACTGGCTCTTACCACTCAGAGGTAAAACTGAGGAACGTGTCAGTGTGTTAATATCCAGCCCCCTCTGGTGACCAAACTCTAAACTCAGAAAAGGTGAAAAAGAAGTTTTCCATTTGTGTGTTAATCTCCAGCCCCCTCTGGTGACCAAACTTTAAACTCAGAAAAGGTGAAAAAAGTTTCCCATTTGCATACTGATTTATGTGATATTAGTTTAAATACTTGAACGTTTTTCCTTCCACAAGGTTGGTCGCTTTTATTCCCCTAGATGTCGGATGAACAGGATCTCTGTCCATCTAGTGCTGAGGACTTGAGGCAGGCCTGGCGTGAGACTTCCTGGTCCTGACTTCTCTGCTGACCCCTGAGAGCCCCAGCGGCTGCTTTGGAGTCATATGTTGCTCCTGTTTTGTCTCTCCGCCCACCTCATTTGCAGTTTTACAAGTCTTCTTTCTTTCTTTAGTCACTCATAAGTGTTGACTCCATTTTTAATCCATTCAGTTTGATAAGATTTCAGTTACTCTCAAAATCTGAATGATTACAATTCAGGACCTTCACTCAAGGCGAACTAAAAAATGTTTGGTTTTGTAATGTTTAAAAAAAAAAAAAAAAGTCCCCCCCTCCGTCCTCCAATGTTTATTTTTCAAGGAAATATGTCAATGCATGCAGACAGTTTGATAAGTTTCACAGTGAAGACCCATCATGTCAAACATTTGCTGCATATTTCACAGTAATGCTGTGAATTAATGAGTGATTATTTTGCCCGTGACTTTCTTTGCCGGATTTTCATTCTTGAATTTGAACTTTTGTAAGATTAAATGCAGTTTATCAAATATCTGATAGATGGCGCTTGAGACAAGTTGAACTAGGAAGCAATCTGATCCACCTTTAGGAGTTTTGGTGTGACCAGGTGCTGGGCAGGAATGCAGAGTTTATCATTCCAAATTTGATCAAATGCTATCTTTCAGTGTGCAAGTGCATTGCTTAAAAAGTAAACATTGTGCAGCGAGTTGTTTTTAGGTCAAAGGCATGGTACTTCATCCAGGCTAGGAAAATGTGATCACAGGCAGAAAAATTCAGACTGACCATTTAATTTCCTTTCAACAAAAAAATGTCTCTTTCCTTTTCGATTTGTGGCTAATTCAACATCCTTCAGCAGTGGCAACCCTTTCTGGGCTTCACCTCTTGAAATGATAGACCTCATTGTTTAAACTTTTTACATTTGTGAAGTTCTGGATATAAAAACGGCCTGCAGAAGCATGAAGAAGCAGCAATAACCTCTGCTGCCGCACCTCAGCAGGCTCTCTTCTGCGTCCTCTACCAATTTACTCACTTGTCCAAAAATCCAACTCACATTTGTGTTTTTTGTGTATGTCATAGTGCACAACCCAGTGTGTGACAGGCCCAACAATACTCAACAATACGCCTGATCACTACAGGTTGGAATAAAAGATTTTTCTGTAACGATTCCTCTTTCAATAAAAAAAAAAAGTACTTCAGTCACATCTGCATTCAAAACATTTTTTGCTGGACCGATAATATAAGAGAACACATTCCTTCATTCATTTCTCGAGGAGAAATTTGAGGGCCTGAGTAATGTTCTTTTGATGTACCATGAAAAGCTTTCACAGATGACTAGACTGCAGCCATTTTACTTGACTTCAGCACATTGCCATCTGTTGGACTGACAATACCAGATCTCACTTCCTTCAGCTTAAGTGCTTATAGATGTAGTATAACTGGTGATTTTGCATAATACTTAAATGATGATAAATGAAACAAACTGATTTATCTGTACTTCCCCTCTCCTTCTAAAACCATGATATCATTCAGAGTTAACAGATTATTCTAAATTGCGTGCATGGTTGAGTGTCTCTTTAGCCTCTCTGTGGTTCTGTGGTGGACTGGAAACCTGTCCGGGTTACACCCTGCTTCTCGCCCAATTGCAGCGTTCAGGGCGCTGAATTGAAAATAGATGGATTCATTTGATATCATTTAAAGAACTTTATAAAACATATAATGATATTTTGAGTCAGACTTGCGCAGAAATTAAAATCCAAAAAGGGTTTGATAATCTCTCCACAACCCCATTACACTTTGTTAATTGAATGAAGATTAATGTAAAACTATTGTTAGAGTTCTAAAGTCAATTCTTTTCTCAATGATTTATGTTTTTGTAAGAAGTTAGTTATGTTAACTTATTTTTTAATCCCTCCTCCCAGTTCCTACACCAATGATTCCTGGTAGGGTCGGGGGGGGGGGGGGTTTACCCTGGACAGGCTGCTGGTCCTTATCTTTTAATGATTTACATGTATATGTCAAAGTGATTGCTTCACGGGCGGTGGGGATCAAAGAAACAATTACAGTGACCTGTGAGGCGATTTTCCTCGTTTGTGTTTGAGAATGCTGCAGGAGCTGTGGCTGCTTTTGAATATTTTAAACTGTGTCTGCAGGCCGTTGATGTGCGCTGAATAGCAAAACCTGCCACTCTCTTTTTGTTCATTATAAAAAGCCTCAACAGTTGTTTTGAAAGGCAGTGAGTCACAACACAGCACAATCTTTGACCAAGATTAAGGTTATCTTAAAGATTGATCTCTTTTTATGGGTTTATGCTTAATTGGCCCACATCCTCTGCAGTTTGAGATTTGTGAAGAGCTCATCAAAGGATTCCATATTTTCTGTCTTGCAAGCATTATCATTGCAAATCTAAAGGGCTTTGGATTCATCGTGTGAATTCAGATTTCCACCTTTTTGAATATGGAACAATCCAAATCAAATGACAAGCAAAATGATGAATGGAAATGGACACAGTATGTTGAATTTTGGAAAGAAGGGAGCTTGCCAAGACTCAGACAGACATATCTTTTCACAGCAGGCTTAAAGTTAAACACAAGAGCTCATTTGAAGAAAAATATGGGGCAAGTATCACTTTCAGCTACAAGTTTTATGAGTTCAAGCGAATATTGGAACAAGATGCAACCACACGCCTCATGGCTGCCACAGTCCACAGCCTGAACACCCTCTTATCTGTGGTTTTCAAAGAGACTGCCTCAGCAACTTGTCAAATTTGCATCTTGTCAGAAGTTCCAATAACTATGCTCTGGATTGTTTTACACTTGCACTAGCCCTATATCATTCATATTAGTTAAAACATTTTTTATTTTGTTTGTCTTTTACTTTAGATGATGAGAAGTGGAATTATGAGTTTGGATTAAAAAACTTCAGAGGGAATTAACTTGCCACGTTACTGAACAGCCTACCGAGCGTTGAGTCGACACGAAGACAGTTCTAAGAGGGTCTGTGAAGCTTATGAGAGGAGCCAACCTTTGAAAAAGAATCAACCTGCAAACATGCAAGACCCTCATGATGATCACACAGGAAGGAAACTGCCACTGTTTAAACCTCCCCTGTGTATGTGCCCGACCTGCACATCTCTCTCCACTGACATGGCTTTGTGGTATTCTGAGAGCGAACACTGCAACGAGGGTGTTAAACTGAAAAAAAAAAGAAACCTTGCTTTTCTAAACCAGTCATGAACTATCCATTCGACTGACAGATTTTTTAGATATCCAGATTAAAATCTTCAACAACAAACATGTCTCTGCAGCTTAGTGGAATATATGGAAATGAACCCACTATGTGGAGCATTTCTGAGTAGGTGCCTCTATGTGAATACTTTCCAGTGGTCATGATCAAAACTCTTGTGGGTGTTCCTCATGAGACAGACTCCCCAAACGTGACACATTCTGACATTAGCTAGAAATGCCCCATTTTGTTACAACCTAGCAAAACACGCACTTTTGCTTAAATTATCTCTTTATTTGCTTTAAAACAAACATAATATCTCACAGTCTCTGCTTCGTAGGCACACATTTAGACATGAAGTCAGTTCCACATCAAATAAATACTTTAAATCGCTACTAACTGAACCAGCACCTTAGTGTTTGCTGACTCATCAATCACCGCATCATCGATAAAAGGCCCCAATATTTTCTCTAAGCTTCAATTGATGTCACTGCCTCTCACATTGCCAACAAGTCTAATTTCTTTTTGGAGCTGCCAGTTTAAAAACGTGCAATGTTTCCCTTGGGTTTTAACATCAGATATCTTTACATAATAAGAAATTTGGTTCACACGAAAGAGGTCGCATTCATTGAACTGTTTCGGTAAAGCGATGAGTAAGTTTCACTCCTCTCTGAGACATTCTGAACGACTTGCGTTCTGTCAGTGGAATTGAATTGCAACTCGAGCAAATGAAGCCTAACAGCCCTGAACTCGTCAAATTTTGTAAAGGCCGAAGAAGTTGGCATGATGGGAATGGCTGAGCTCGCGAGGGTGCGATAGATGCACGAAAACGCTGTCGTTCTTCTTCAGCCGCTGAGCAGAGCCCAGGTAACTCTCGGTGGTCCAGGAGTGGGCGGCCTGCTGGCGGCAGAAGCCGGCGCGGTGGGCCTCCATCAGCTTCAGGGACGAGGGCTGCCCCTCCCTTCTCACCAGCACAGAGTGCTCGAACACGGAAGTGGGGTTGCAGTTCTTAAAGATCAGTTCCACTCGCGAGTAGACGTAATAGAGTCCGGTCTCGTTGACCTGCAGGGCACCGTCCTCAGCCCGGTAGGCCACGGCTCCAGAGGTGAAGGCCTGACCTGTCTTTGGCTCCCAGCGCAGGGTCTTTGGAAATTCACCCTTTTCAACGCGTCCTACCACAGCAGAAATGGGATGTTGGTTAACACTGTATGCCAAAAAAAAATAATCCAAAATTGCACCACAAATAATGAGAAATTGTACCTATAACGTGTGCTGCTGTCCGGATGTCTTCATCCTTTCCATTAGGCCCGGGCTCATAGTCACCTGAAACAACCCTCAGGTCAATCATGTTTTTCTTTCACAAAGCACTTTTTTTATTTTCAGGAAATGTGTTATGTACATTATGTATGCCGCAAAAATAAAGAAACCAACCAATTTGCTTTAGAGGTGCACTGAACTCCGACTCGGTGCTAGTTTCAGCCTAGAGAGAAATGAAAGAGAGCAATGTCATGACCACATCAAACGTGCTCGCACCACAGCGTTTAAAATGGCTCAGAGCACAAGACAGAAAAAAGCATTTCCTGTCTGAGTGGACCGGTGGCCGCAGATGCAGCAGTGAGGGCAGTGGTTTGCCTTTTTAAATGTCAGAGCGGAACTCAGACACAGCGACTCCTCAAGTGTCAACCGAAGCAAACCGTCGAAATTAATTATTAAACTTTGCAAATCTGCCCCAACTTTCCAGCCACATTTCCATTCTCCAACCTCACACCTCTCTGTCACCCACCTCCTTGAGAGAGTCACACCTTTTACATTTTTTTAAATTAGAAAAACAAGGTTGCAAATGAAGGGAGGTGATTAGCACTATGTCTTTAGGGATGGAGACTTCAATCTTTTGTCAATATGCAAACCCAATAACTGTCATGCAAGCAATCCCTTTTTGAGCTTTAAACAGGATAAATTTCACACACAGCCTTAATCACAAGTTGCCTATCAAACTTAACAGATTCTCCCCGTAATTGTCCATGTGATTCCTACCTTGCCGGCTTCTTTCACTTTTTTCTGTAGGTCCATGATCTGGTAAGCCTCAAAGCCCAGGGCTGCAAACACCAGCAGGAACAGCATCAAAACAATCATGGCCAGGCTGGGGCTGACTCCCATGCAGCCTCGCCTCCTCCTCCTCTCCTGGGCAGGTGGGAAAGACCAGCAGGGGATGAGTTTTGGGGCCTGCTCCGACTGGTGCGGACCCCTGCCTTCATCCACAAGGAACACCTGTGGGAACGGGTAGCTCTGCTCACAGCTCATTGTGGAAGTCCAACTGTGAGACAAACCTACGCGTGCATCTATCTGTGCTACGTGAAGGAGGCATGTGCTTAAGAATCTCCAGCTGTCAAGTTAATCACCACCCACAGGTCCCACCCCTGCTCGCCCCCAGTACACCCTGTTAAATAGCTAAACCTCATCAAATCAAGAAAATATCAAACCATCCGTCTCTTAATGTCATTCTGAAGACATTGCAATTAATGTTTTTTTTCTCATTTTTTATCTCATGCATTTAGGGTTTATTTGCATGCTGTGTTGAAGTTTGTGTTGTGCACTGTGCACAAAGGCAGGTTTAGCTGAGTGCGAAGGAAAAGGATGTTGAGGTTTGAGCTGACCCGTACCTCTCTTACCACACTCAGAAAAAAATATCCTTTTTGAATTCCAAGAAAGGAAAGTATGAGCAACTGAGAAACCAGTTTTTTTTTCAAAAGGCTGCGGCAAGTTTAGCATGCTCAGGTGATTTGAAATCACTTCTCAACCGGACCACAGAGGAGCTTGACTTTGATGGGGACTGAGCCTTCATCACTATTGTTGTGCACCGCTCTTCTGCCGTGTGAGTTTTGATGGGGCTCAGCTCTTCAGTAAACAGTGACACGGCAGTTTCAGTAGCACAGAGCGTTTTTCTTGGTGGGAAAATGATGCTGCCACATGAAAAGAACAAACGGCGGTGTGCCGTCTTACATGGTCGCTGCTTTTTGAAAACGTTAGTAGCAATACACGCAGGACTAAATCAGAAGTGAGAACGAACCCCCACCATTACCTCAAATCATGTGCTAATAGGAAAGCTGACTGCAACCCACTCAGTGGTAGTAAATGTAACCGTGGTCTTTCTGACTCTTTGGGGGTTCTTTTTCTTTGGAAACAGAACAAGTAAGCTGATATTTTATCTTATTTCTGCAAGTTTCCTTTTTATGAGCTTATGAAAAAAAAACTATTTTTACCTGGGTTTTGCTAGTTTTTCAGAAATGTAATTTTCCCCCAACTTCCCAAAAAACAAACAAAAGTAAACAAAGTTTACATGTTTTTTCACAAAAGGTACATTCAAATTTGCAACAAAACTGTACGGAATCATGCAAGCTTTGTATACCGTGTGTTATCTGAGGGTGTGTGTTGTGTGAAGATTGTGGCGGTTTCAACAGAATCTGTCTGCACAGGTCTGTACCACTACCATTGCAAACTTCTGTTTCGTTCTCCAGGTCCCTGCAGACACGAAGGGAAACCCACCATGCAGTGTGAAAACACAGCTCCAGCTAAAAGGGTAATTACGTCAATCTTAACCATGAACTTCAGACTGCCTGCACTCATCAAGCTGATGCGCCTGTTTCCCAGAAGCATCATACAGAAAGTAGTCCTTGCAGTAGCAGCACAGAGTGTATCAGGTGGGAGGGTGGGGTTTTGGGGTCTAACCAGGCCGTGCTAACTGCTGCTGCTGCCACAGTCGATTCGACAAGGCAAGAGCACTGAAACGCACCACTGAATCAGCAACTTCTTCTCTGAACACCGTTCATAGCTCACTTTTTCCCTCTTCTGTTGCAGAGTGGAGCTCGCTGTGGTCGTGATGACTGATTACACAAACGACAAAGTGCCCGGAGATGACAATGAATCTCTGCGGCTGAATTGAATGACACAAAAAGTGGTTTTATCAGGAAAAAAATGGTTTCCTTAGATGGCAAATTTTTTAGGTTTTGCTTGAGTTAGAAATGAAAATGTAGATTTTCCCAGTAAAACGTGTCTTCATGACATCAAGCTTATTTTAGGCATGGCATGAAAAGTTGCCCCTTTCCTCTAAACATTCATGACAGTTTCACATCTGAAAGGTTTTGTATTTGGCAAATAATTAGGTCTTCAAAATTGCTGTCAGGGAAAATGAAATAGTCATTTTGATAAATTCTACTTAGGTTAACTCAGTTTAATGAACACTTAAAAGAGGGATTTCATTAAATAAACTCTTTAATGCAAAAACATAGGAAAATATGCATTTGTAATTAACTTTTACGACATTAAGTATGACAGTCCTCATCAGATGAGGAGTAACAGTCCAGGCCGAGGACATGGCCGCTCCTCTCTGCTATCTCAGTGATGGGGGGTTTTTGGGGTATCCTCTCCGATGCCTCACAGTCTGATGCGTCCTCTTTGATAGTACACTTCTGTCCAATAACAGAGCTCTTTGCAGCCCCGTCACTCTTCTCTCTGTCTTTATTTTGCAATGCAAATGTCTCTCTTGATTGAGTATTGTTCAGATTGGGAAGGCTGGATTGCAGCATCTGGGCAAGTTTTTGTGATTTATAAGAAGCCAGGTGAGCTGATGGTCCCCTGTAAGCGGCGGCAGCTACTGCCAGACGCGTGTGGTCAAAGGAGAGGGGCAGGTCCTGGGCTGAGCAGGCCACCTCTGAGGCCTCTGAGACCAGGGTGGGGGGAACATGGTTTTTAAACCTGGCCTTCGAAAAACTGGAGGATTCCTCTGTGGTTGTGGATTCTAAAGTGTTGTACACGTCACTCTCAGGTCTGTCCTGCTGGCCAACACAGTCATATGGCTCACAGGGCCGGGAGGTTTTAACTGGGAACGAGAGGGAGAGAACATACTTGTATAGTTAGAAAAAAAACAGTCACTGGTACCTTATAGGAAATACAACGCTGTGGAGAACAAAATGCTCTTCAAGAGTGATAACAGGTCAGATTTTGGTATATTTCAAATGTTATTAGTTGTTATGAATAATGAATAAAATGGAAATGTAAATTTCTTACATTCAATCAGGAAACAATATGACATCATGCTACACTGAACTTTTAGTTCTTGTCGAAAGGAAGCCTAATTACTTTATTAATTAATTGACTGAAACAGGTTTCTTCTTCCAACTTCAAAGCATCTGATCAATTTTGATAATATTACCAAGTTCTCAATTTGATGGAGAAAAACTAACACACCTGTTCTATCAGGATTAGACTACTGAAATGTTTTTTTTAGGGAGCAGTTCTGTAAATTCTCTCTAAAGCCTCCAGCTAATGGAAATGGCTGCAATTCTCATAAAAATAACCAGGAAGAATCAGATTTTTCCAGTTTTTTTTTCTCTTCGCTGGCTCCGTGGTAAATTCACAATAGAATTTAAAATTCTTCTTCCCATTTGTAAAACTCTACCAGCCCAAGCTCTGTTCTATCCTAAAGACATAACTACACATGTTCCCATCAGAGCACTAATCTATCAAGACTGCAGCTCTGTGTTAATAGATGGTCTAAGAATAGAGCTGGACACTGAGCTTTTTGTTATCAAGCCCCTCTCTGTGGAATTAGCCATCAGTTGGGCTTTGGGAAACAGACGTCCTCACTAAATACAAGTGTAGTCTCAAAGCTTTCCTTGAGGGAATATTTTTGACACAAAACAACAAATATATTCAAGGAAAATTCTACATATTGTTGTATGCTTTTGGTGTATGCAGGGGATTAGCCATTACTTAACCACCTACCGTTGCTTGGAGCCTCTTGAGTGTCTGCCCTCCTTTTGCAGTATGCTCTCAGAGTCCAGGGACTGTGTTTACATGAAGGGTCCAGAATCCGTAATTTGGTCATGAAGCTTTTGTACTCTTTTTCCAAAGCCTCGATGCGCAGCTGGAACTCAGCTATCTTCCTTTCAGGGTAATGAAAGAGCTGAGATTGCTTTAAAGATAATGACATGAACAACCAAAAAACAGGATCATCAGCAAATACAGATATGAGGTACAGGCGCGTGAGTTTGAAACATTACAGAAAGGTTTCTCACCTGCAAGTAGTATTCTATCTCACTCTTGATGCTAGGGATCCACTTTTTCACAGACGAGGCTGAATTAAGAGTCGACTGTGAAAGAAAATGATTGACTGTAACGTGTCACTCCCGAGACAAAAAAGGGGTATTTTATCATTATGATGACAGTGTACTATTTATTTGATCGTTACCAATTTGGGTCGACGTTCAAGAACATCTTTAAGACGCCCCTCTGGAAAAAAACGAGAGTTTTAATATTCGGAGATATTCTAAGATTTGAATAGTAACTATGACAAGCTCAGTGATGTGGAATAATTGAACTGTCTACTTATGTGAGAACTACAAGACAGAATTGGCTAACAGCTCGGTAGCTGTTAGCTACTCATAGTGTTATTCGCTGGAAATGAATCACACAGCTTTTTTCCTCCACGGACACCAACTTCTTACCTTCTCGTTCCTTCTGAAGCCACAGTCTGTTGAGCCTGCCCTGTTGTTTCTCTTCGTTTCTTGCCATTTTGAACGTAACAGAGACAGCCTGTGGAGGACACTTTCGACCAAAGCAAAACAAAGCCACGTGACGCACGGTAGTCACGTTATTGTGACATACCGCGAGAACGGCACCCTCTGAAAGCACTTGTCTAATTCCTGCTTGTGATTTAAACAAATATCAAATTAAAAACGATTATTCGAAACATGACAGGTCCTCTACTGTGGTATTGCAATGCGGGATCTGTTTGTATCTGAGATATGAATCAGATCAAACGTTTATAATAAAAAGTTACTCTTTTGGGGGGATTTTCTGACCTCTCAAGTGTCAGCCTTGAGCATTTTGTCAGAGTGAGGGAAAATTGCTTAGTGAAGTATTCATCTTATATAATTATAATTAGAATGTGATGCAATAATTCAGACCTGACCAAAGTACATCGAAATTTGACAAGTAGATATTTTCAGGTGTTTTGGGGAGTAGAATGGTCATGGCAAGGAGAGAAGACAGGGACCGTTGGAAATTGGACAGAGGAGAGTTGGAAATACAGAGTAAAGAGTAGACTGGCCTACAAGAGAGGAGAAGAACAAAGATTTAGACGGGTCTGTCAGTTTTTCATTTATAATGCCTGCCTTGATGTCGGGGTGTTTGGATGATGATCATTTTCCTTGCAACCCCGCATTAGTTGTGTGCTAAAGCCATTTTTAGTGTTTGGCCATTTATCTGAAGCTACTTTCCTCCAGTGAGGGACCACCACAGGCTGATAAGACCTGGGTATGAGTTACCTGCTGATTGAGGTGTCTTTGGCAGCCCACACTAGGTCTTTCAGTTTGACTCACAACCACAGTTAGCCACAGTGGAAAATCCTTTGATAGAGTTCTCCTACGCCTGCTCTCTAATGCCACACTCCTTTATCAGCCTTTTGGTGGAGATAGCTAAAAATCCCTGCAACCCATTTTTCCAACGGACGCATTCTTATCTTTCAACCACTCTGATCTGCATGTGCTGCCTCCTCTAAGCAGACCAACAGCTTAAAATTGAGGTCACAGCAGCTTCAGAGTGGTGTTTATGATTTCAGGTGGGAATATAAAATGTTGATGCCTGTCTCTGGCTGTGAGTGCCTGGAAAAAAAAGGGGCAGATGAACGTAATGTGAAGTTACAGAGGGACATTTCTCCTGGTCAAATCATTTTCAGTCTCTGTTCCAAATTAGTTCATTATACAATATTAATTACAGAAACATTGTATACATGCTTTCATCGTATTCTGATTTTTTTTTCATGCGAAATTCACAACTCCAGTTAAGTGACAAAGCGTTTTCTGAGTTCTGAGTCAGATCAGAGTTATGGATGTGTGGGGGATGCCAGTAACAATTCAAATGTTTCCAAGGGGGGAAAAAGCCCCCCTTTAGTTTCCAGTGGTTTTAGTGCCTATTGCTTGTCATTTTTTCATGCTTTTTTTACTTATCACACTGAGAGATATTGATCGTGCAAAAGTGTAAACCGTCTGTGCAGTCTGTGCACAGAGCGACCGCAAACGTCTCTGACAGACTAAAAACGGTGCAATCTAAGAAAAGAGAAGCAATTGATCATGCTTTAGCAATGAGTGATTTATCTCTGTCCTGAGTGTGAATGGAGCCTATCCCAGTGGTCAGTGGGCGAGAGGCGGGGTGCACCCTGGACGGTCCGCCAGTCCGTTGCAGAGACACACAAAGACACAAAAGGACAAACAGCCACGGACACTCACACACAAGGGCGTCTCAGAAACACTGAATCTTTATTCCTGTGGTAGATCAAACAGATTCCTGTCTTTAAACTTCTGAGCATGGCCCTCCACATGGGCCCTGGAAATGCTGTTGAGACGCCTACAGGCGGCTTTGAGAAGAGTTTAAGAAGAGTTTGATCTGCTTCACCTTGTTAGTAAAAATTAATTAAAGCAGCGTGGCCCCTGTCTGTTTTAGATCACCATAAAGTGAATAAGTGAATAATATGAAAAAACGATCACATCTCTTTGTTGAATATCACAGCTTATTTATATAACACAAATTCATGAAGTAACTCATAACTGTATACTGTCAATTGGAAAAGCACTTTTCTGTGACATGTGCTTTAGGATTTTTTCAGTGTCTTCATATATTTCCTTTTAATCTTAAATTTAAACAGTATACTTTTGGTCAGCTTTTTCTGTATTTGTCATAACATGATATACAGGCTTAATAATACTTTTGTAAAAAGTACAATATTTTTTACAAGTTACTTCAAGTGCTAGATGTTGAAGTCTAATAACCACAAAATTCTTCAAGTTCAAATTCAAGGTTTAGGTAAGGTAGATGAGCGGAACTGGCTCTTTTATGCAAACATTGTGATATCCCAAACACAAACAGGCCAACACCTGCTGATTTGGATTAGAAGTCTGGAAAACTTCCAACTCTTTACCCTTTAGAATATTTACGGATCACATGATAAAATGTGGTATAATTCCAAGCAGTTAACTCTACACTGTGGCTACAAACAAAGTTTAAAAAGGTAAAAGTGAATAGACCTTGCTATTGTTATTAGACTGGTCAATAAAACGAGCAGATTTGGAATAATCTAAATTTAGATCTCTACCCCTGTTTCACGTATTTTATTGCCGTTTGAATCTCTTCATTGATTTGTCCTTGGAAAGTAAATCCAATCACCTCTCCGGACCACTTCTCAAGGTTCGCCCCCCTCAGCAGCCCAGAGGATTATTAAGCAGGTCCGCTTCCCGTAAGACACGCCCCCTGCGGCGTGACGTACAGCTTCCGAGTTTCCTCGCTCCTTATTTGGAAGGGACGCGCTCGGCTACCCGAAATGATGTAATGTTACAGTAAGTTAGAAAATCATTGCTAATTTACGTTTTTTTAAAAATATAGATACAAATAGGAGAAATATCAGGGTAAAATTGTGTCCTTCAGTTCTCATTCGTTTCATTGTCAAGTGTGTTTTACTTTTCTTGAGCACGGACAAACCTGAGGAGGCTGGGCAGGTGGTGATTCTGACCAGGTCTCTGTCGCCCTCCGGTGGCTGTCCATGATCAGTACATGTCTGAGGCCTGCTGAAGATGGGATCCTCACGCATTTATCGCTTCCCCTCACATATCCCTACTATTCAAGCAAGGATGAGGCATTCAACGTTAACTTCATGCCCATCAGATTAGGCCAGATTTTCCTAATTTCAGTCCAAACATAAGCATTTATTGGCTTGATAAAAACAACAACAATTTATTTCTGAATTGATACTCATTTGCTCATAGTGAATAAATAAAGGCATTTATCTGGTTAACAAAACAATAAATTCAACCACCAAATTGAAACTCATTTGCTCCCTGTCAGTGAATGCCTTACTGGCATTATGAAGGAGTACCTTGTACTAGCAGACCTTTCTAATGTTTCTAAAAAGCAAATCAAGACTTTCTTTTCTCTGTAAATGCTCGATTTATCCATTTATTAATTGGTTGTGTTAGCTTGCTTTGGTGAGCACAGTCACGGTTTGCTGCTCTCATGTTACCTTGTGAGACACAAAACAAAGAAAATACTGCCACAAAACACAGCTACCTTTAAATGTGAAGGCAGGGTCTGAGGATATGAGTGAATTTGCTTGGACATGTCTGGGTTTTTCTTTGTTTACAACAGGACAGGAAGTGATGTTGGATAATTGTGTGGTGCAACACCAGACCTGTGATTTACTTTTTTTTTTTTTTTTTTACCAAATCAGTACTGCCAAAGATTTCTTCAGCTGAAGCTTGTCCTCATTTAAGATTGATTCATACATCAGGGCTTTTCTAAAAAGCAGTAACGGATTTCTTGTCGTGCCCCTCCGCTCACGCTCAGCCAAAAATCTCAACCCCAATTTACAGAATTGGCCTCCATCAGTAAGTGAGCCGGTTCTGTCAGCTGAAACACAATCACTTAAGCCGGGATCAATACCGCCACTAATGGAATTTACCTTGAGGTACTAAGAACCAGCAGCTCTTGCAACATGTTGCAACATGTTTTATTGTTGGAGTTCCTCACTTGACACACCCACTCTCCCCGCTCATTCTTACAAGAACACAGACACACTGTCAATGCACTTTGCCTTTTTTGGTTTATTTCCTTAAATATCGATTAGTCTCTGAAGTGCTCAGAAAACAAACATAAAAAAATTATACTGTATTTTTTATTTATTACAAATGGTAAACATAAGTACTCCAAGTTGATATTATGTACATAATAACAATGAGTGAAACCCCATTAAACAGCTTTAGAAAGAAACAAGTAAATCTTGAAGCTTTTCTAACTTAATTTCTTACAATTAAGAAAAATGTACTTTGTACTGTAACTCAGACATCAGGCAGCATTTATTACAACTTTGCAGCTGTTTAGAGTTGACATTAAGCCCAAATGGGAGACCATGATGGCTACAGCGTGGCAGGCTCTGGATTCCTCTAATACTGAACTTCTTCGTTGGTGGTAATGACATGGTCCATGCAGAGCTGGGTATAAATCAAGAAATTGTCAGTCCTGTCCAGTTCTGTGGAAACAAACAGAGACGGTGGCCGTTCGTTGCCATGCCTGCTGTCACAGTCCTGAGCCCGTCGCTGGCGCGCGGGCCAGCCGTGGCACTTCAGGAACTTCAGTTCGGACCCCTGTCCGGCCAGTGTCCGGCCACATCCTCCCGAGTCCCGTCGCGGGACCGGGAGACACGCACGATCACTGGAAGCGTCCGTTTCATTCAACACAGTCTTTGTTGTTGTTGTTGTTGGCTCAGAAGGTCTGGAGCTGCTGCGTGAGCATGAGCTGGCACCCGCTGTTGACGTGGTTCATCACTTTCTGCTTCAGCTGGGCCACCTGCTCGCGCAGCAGGTTGGCGGTGGACGCGAGCTCCGAGTTCTGGGACTTGAGGGTCTTGACTTTATCCTCCAGCCTCGAGATGCGCTCCAGCTTCCTCTTCCGGCATTTGGAGGCGGCGATGCGGTTCCTCATGCGCTTCCTCTCCGCCTTGATGCGCTCCTGGCTCTCCATGTCTATCGGGGAGAGAGGGGGGGTCTCCCCGGGCATCTCGGGCACCGTCTGCGGCTCCTCTTTGAGCGCGCTGAGCCGCGGGAGCTGCGCGGGGGACTGCTGGCCGTAGATCGGCGGGGCGGCGGGGAAGGACATGGC